TATCATCGATGGAAAAAAAAAAAAAAAAGAAGGAGATCGATCGAGGAAACCGGATGGGAGCGTAACATGTTTTCGACGCGCTTTTACTTTCGTTGTAGTTGTTGTTGTTGGTTAAGAAACGTTGTCGAAGTCGGCGTTATTAATTGGAACGGAGGCGGATAATTGCGCTATTCGTTTAAAAAAAAAACGAGCGTATCATAACACACTCTCCATCCTTAGTGAAAGTCTAAGTCGCTATCGTCCTCATCGGCCCGCGTCTTTCCGCGTGAAACGAGAGCTGTTCGATCGCTTAAATCCTCCCACCTTTTCCTCGTTCCATCCAATTTTTCGCTCCGCGATGTAACACGCTCTCTCTCTCTCTCTCTCTCTCATCGATTCAAAAATAATCTCTTAATAATATCTCGGATTAATCGGTGAAAAGAAAAATTAACAAGAATGTTATGTAAATGCCGCGTCCAATTTACATAATCGTAAAGTTACGAACATCGATTCTTCCGCCATTAAAGATAATTGCAGCCATCCATCTCTTTCTTTCCTCTTTCCTTTTCTCCTCTCTTCTCCTCGTCCATCGTTGCGTCTCTTCTTTTCTTCTCTTTCTTCTCTTTTTTCCCGACGACGACGACGACGACGACGTTTGCTCAATGAAGGAAGAGAGGCGACGACTACCACGAACAATTCAACCCCAACAATTTCGTCGACTTTTTATCGATAATAGCGGAATGGAAAAGGAGAAGACACGAGTGATACACGCGCGATTATTATCGAGTTTCAAGATGTGTACAAGATGCGTAACGAATTACAGGGGAGCCGCGTCGAAATCGCGAACAGTTTCGAGATTTAACGACACGAGTGATTAGATTTTCCTCTCCTCTTAAAACTTCTGATCGATTGATGGCGATTCTTTCCGTGGAAACGGAAAGAATTTTCCGAAAAAAAAAAAAAAAAAAAGAAAAAGAAAAAGACAGAGATTCACGAGCAGCGTTGCTTTTTCTTTTTTTGAACTTGAAAAAAAAGAAAAAATAAAGGACGTAAAGTACGCGAATACCACTTCGGAGGAGACGAAGGAGAGAAAAAAGAACGGGGGGAGGAGGGGGAAAAATGTAGGAAAGAGATAAAAACGGGACGGAACCGTTAAGCGCGATAAGTCTTTTAACGTGGCTAACAAGCAGAGAAGGAAATTACATAGGGAGGAATAAGAGAGGCTTGCTGGTGGAGTGACAAATATGTGTAATATACGATATAACGCGGAGGAAACCTGAATTATTAGTTACACGATGTCCTTGTCTACAATGTGCCACGCGGTTGTAATAAATTGGCGTATAAACCGCCTGCATTCCATTTTACCATTCCATCTTTTTCATTTCGAGTCGAAAAAATTAAAAAAAAGCTGCCCCCTAATATTCAATTACCTCTCCAACGAAAAAACTCCGTTTGAGGTAACGAAAAACTTGCATGAATGAAAATTTTCATCGAGACTACTACGAGGAGCGCAAGCCAAATTATCTCTACAATGGAATTACGATTTCTATTCACCAAGATTGAATGTTCGTTGATCGTTCGCTTCGACTTGTTTCGACTCATTAGATTTTCGACGCAATACACCGAGAAACGTCAGTTGAAACCTCGTCGAATTCTCTCGAGTAATGGCGCGCATTCGTTTATTGTAGATGCTATCTGCGATAAATAGAAGTATTAACGAAACAACGAGGAAGAGTTCGCGGAACGATGATCCGTCGAATTTTATTGCTCGAATCGTGCATTCGAATCACTTTCGCGAGACCTTTGATCGGAGCGCAATCACCGTAATGTGCGATATAATCGAAATCGGGCGAAACTACTTCGAATCGGTACCCTTTCGGGGAGGGCGCGAGGTTCGTGCCTGTTTGATTTGCACGTTCACGTCGGTAATGGACGAGCGGGGTGCGCTAGGTGTCGGTTATGTAATTTTCGAAACAATTTCATTCGTGTATTGTGTATAATAACGGAGATGATGTACGAAAGAATGATGCTCGATCTCGAGGGTCCGCAATGATAGCGTGGAGAAAAAAAAAAAAAAAAAGAAAAAAGAGAAAGAGAAAAAAATAAAGATTCGACTTGAGAAAACTCGAAGGAACTGGATGAATGACGTATCGTCGAAACGCGATATTTCTGGATCGATGGAAGATGGATTATCGATCGCGTGAAAGTCAATCGGGAGATTGAATCAATAATTCAAAAATGTAGAGGATGAAAATATGGGGAAGAATTAAGCTCTCAATGCGAAGGATGGCGAATGATGGGGAAAATTAACTTGTTCGAAACTTCCGCGTACGACATATGCTCGATTGTTGTATGCAACGAGTTTGAAAAAATTGAAGGAGTCGTTGGATTCCTCCGATTTATAACCAAGTTGTAAAACCGATAAAAGTTCTATCGGTGAATGCTAACGAGATACGAAAAATGGTTAACCGATCGGCCATCTGTTCCTCTCGATAATTAAAATCATTCTCTTTCACAGTGAAACGATGTGATGGAAAGAACGTGGCGTGCTATCATCGATTAATTATCATCGCGATCTTTTTTGTAAATATACAATCTTCTTATCTCTTCTTTCCTTTTTTTTGAAATGTTGAACGCCACGAAAATCGTTAATTAATCGAGAAAGAAAAAATATTTTTCTTTAAAACCGATCATTTATTTGAACAGAGTATTCCCTTTTCCTCTATCGTTGGATACATTTCTCAATTCGATAATGGTAATGGTCGATGGATATTTCAATCGGGTATCGATTATCGATGTTTGGAGAAGGGATGAGTGGCGAGAAGAGGAGGAAAGATAGGATCACGGAAACTGGAGTATCGAGGCGTGGCAAGGCTGAATGAACGCGGTAAAACCCGTCTAGCGAATGAAGGGGAAGGTTGCTCCCTAGGTGAAACCCGGCGCCGGTTTCTAGCACGTTCACGAGGCCTCTTTGGTCTTATTTCACGGGTATAAAGTGGGTGTGTGTGTCGAGGCGGCTTCTATGTGGCCTTGCAAGGTCGCTTCTATACGCCGTCATGGAGAAGATTCTATATCTTTGCTCGTTTCCTCGTTCGATTCCTGGACGCGAATATCGGAACGCGACACGGAGAATTTCCGCAATTTTTACGACGCAGTGTTGCCGATTAAGCGAAAATTAAACGATTCGATGGCCAATCTCCCGATCGAAAAGGAATAACGGTGAAATTAAATCTCTCTAATACCCCGTAATAATGATTTAGAAATTATTTATGTTTGGAAGGGGGAAAATATCTAGTAATATAAAAAATGTTGGGAAGGATTGAAAAAATTTTTTTCGGTCCTTCGAAATTTTTCT